TTTATCAATTTTCACAGAAGCCATTTTTCTTGTTACATTCCTAATTTGTACTTATTTTTTTAGCGATTTATCGATCGATAAATCCAGTGGTTGCCGCATGCGATAGGATGAGCGATAAACGATAAACGATAATTTTGCTGTTAAGTAAATCGGTTATCGTTATCGTTTATCGCTAAATTTTCAAAATTATCGCTCATTCACTTATCGCATCCACATCGCAAGTTACAAAAATTATGAACGATAAACGATAAAATCCTTCCTGATGAAAAGCTCATCAGGAAGGAGCTGCCGACCTGGGCCGTGGGAGCAAGGAAGCTGAGGTGAAGCCAGAGCACTTCCCCAGCCAGCACTGGGACAAGTGGATCGCAATGTTCGTCAAGTACAACACCCCCCTGCCCAGCTCTGCCGCTTTGGAGCGCACGTTTAGCACGGCCGGGGATGTCCTGAGGCCCAAGCGCGCCAGCATGACCAGCGACAAGTTTCAGCAACTGGTCTTCACCAAGGGCAACATGGCCCTCCTGGAGGCTATCTTGAAGAGAGAGAAGATGGAGGCCACTGGCCAATACTGACACAGAGCATTAGACAGCTATGCTGAGCTTGACTAAAATGTGCTTTTTCCTTTTTCTTTACTTGTATGATCCAGTATTGAATATATACCTACTGCAAATAAACTTTAAGTAGGTACAGTTTTTAAATAAAGTATTTCTGATCGCTTTTGTAATCGCTGTTTAAAACAATTATCGTTATCGTTTTATCGTTTATCGTTTCGCTATCGCTGTTAAAAGACAATTATCCTTATCGTTTTATCGTTTATCGTTTCGTTTTCGCTGTTAACCCGCGACCTGGTGGGGGGGGGGGGCTATTTTTTGCCCTCCCTCCAGACTTTTCGCTATATCTCCAGAAACGCTGCGCCGATCGTCACCAAACTTTCAGTACCCTCCCGGACATCAATTTTACACATTGTGACCAAAAATTTTTTCCAAAGGCTATGATAGGTTGGCCGGAAATGACGTCAGAGTGACGTCATGTTCTGCCGTTTTCGACCCAAAAAAGGGTTTCGCGGAAGAGCTGTCAGGCCTGTAGCTTTGCAAATACAGAAAAATGATACGAACATAAAAGCTGTAGAATCGACAGGGCTACAAAACTGCTATCTCGGATTTTTGAAATTTTTGGATTTTGACCCCCAAAAATCAAAAAATAATTTTTTTGGATATAATATTCGAAAAATCCAAAAAGTTTTTTGAATTTCGCAAAAACCGGATTATATGTGATATTCCTTACCGCCTTCCATCCACATACCAAATTTGAGATTGATACCTCTTTTTTGGTGAAGTTATAGCGAAAAAACTGTTCAAAATTGATGACGTCAAATTTTCAAACTCAATTTTTAGCAATTCTAGACCCCGTAGCGAAAACAAAGACCACCATTAGACTCCCCGTGACGAGCTGCATCGAATCAATACCCATTTTATGCAAAACTATCAACTTTAAAATTTGACCTTTTTGGCCTGACCTTGACCTGACCTTGACCTGAACTTCGCCAGAAAGTGACCTAAGCCGTACCTGATAGTCTTATAACCAACACCATTGAGTTGGAAATGAAAAATTGGCCATAAAACATGCATCACACAACCTTAGTAAAGTTGGGCTCATGTGGCCTGACCTGTAACCCTTGGTGACCTGACCTGTGACCTGACCTGGTATTATCAGTGACCTCTAATAGCAACATATCTACTAGCCCGCGCCCTGCTGGGGGTCCTGGATTTCCACGCCCTGCTGGGGGGGGGGGGGTGTTTGAACACCCCCCCTTGTAACTCGGCTCCTGGGCCACGTAGCGATACGCGGAAGGCGGCGTTCGAAAGAGCGTAAAAAATAATGACGAAATCACTTCGGTCAATTTTTTGGTCAGGTCAAAGGTCAGGTCACCAGAGGTCATTGAAGGCAAAATTTCGCCCATTTCCAGGTCGAATGTCGAAAATTTCCAAGAAGCCAACGCATAACTCGGGAACCAATAGAGCTACAGCGCCGCGGAAAAGTGCATTCGATAGCCCTATTAACGCCCTTTCTGAGTAATTCTCTCAGATTTGACCTAACTTCAACGGTTTTGCCTCCAGGGGGCAAAAACTGCAAAAATAGCCGATTTTTTCGAAAACAGTTTTTCTGCAATAACTTTTGACCCAAGCCTTGTACAAGCTTACTTTTACCGGCATCGTGCTCCTCTCGTCAAGACGCATCGAATGAACTATGACTTGACCTTGAAAGGTCAACTTGAAAATTTGACCTCAGGTCAAGGTCATGACCTGACCGGAAAGGGTCATGTTGCATATCAGTCGATCCGTATCGTCGAGCTGAACACATCTAAGGCGTTTTCATCGCTCTAGCATGCCTCTATCAAAAGTTATTTGCGAAAAACTGTTAGATACCATTCGTGACCTAAGATGACCTCAGGGCATAAACAAGGGTCATGGACACCATTTTCAAGTTCAGTGTGTCTAAACCACTTGTAATTCGGTGTTTGGGAGTGTTTATAACGTCTTTCATCCAAAAGAGGCGCATTTCAATTTTCTCCCATTGACTTATAATGGGGAGGTCGCAAAATTGACCTGACCTTAGGTCATCGATATCAAAATTCTGAGATATACATTTTGTACATGCTATTGCTCTTAGCAATCGCTGAAAGTTTCAAAGCGATCGGTCACTCGGTGTAGCTATGACAGACATTGAAACATTTTATGAGGTGAGGTCACTTCAAGTGACCTGGTGACCTGACCTTGAATGACCTTGGTCTGAAATTTTCACAACATGTGTAGAATTGATGTATGATAAGGTGTACCAAAAACGGCGGCGCTCCGCGCCGCCGTTTTTGAGATATTCGCGAAAAACCACAAGGGGGGGTGTTCAAACAACCCCCCCAGCAGGGCGCGGGCAGAGGTCGACAAAATTCATGGAGTTTCTCCGACTACCTGCCAATTTTCTCCAGGTTTTTCTTCGCGATTGTGAGAAATGATTAATTTGGGTACCTATCCACGCAACCCAAAACACTGGTATACGGCAGTCATAAGCTCTTGTTACACTGCCAAATTTTGGTACACGAATGTGCACGAATATGCAGGTCATCCTATGTCGCGGACCGATTCGGGATCTTTCTTCCCCGGTCTTGGCATTTCGCAGACCATTCGGTGTCCACCGCGCGACTTTTACGGCTTGTCACGACCGCCACAAATTTTTCATGAAAAATGAAAATTTCGTGGCCAGCTTCGAACTTGTGATAAACGAATATAATCGCCAAACAGTCGCCGAGTAGGCGCCGACATATCGCTGCGTGCGCCGACTTGTTGCCAAGGTATCTCCGACTATTCGCCACAGATGAGTGCCAATGATGTAAAATACAATACAATACAATACGCGCACGCAGTCCTCTGCCGACTGAAACCCGGGAGTGTTTTGCTCCTGCGAGTCCCCCCCCCCCCCAACCCCTACCTTCCCCGCGGCCAGCGCCGGCCTCCTGCCCTCCTGCCCCGCGTCTCATCTCCCCTTTTTCCTAGTCCCCCTACCCACTCCCTCCCTCCCTCACCGCGCGTCGCTGTCGGGCCCTTAGCAGGGGTCGGCAACCTACGGCCCGCGGGCCGGATCCGGCCCGCGGCTGGCATCAGTAACTAACATTGTGTTCCGGTCCGTTGCTCCTGCGCGTGATTGTAACAAACTGTGACCATGCTCCGGCCCGCCGGTTGCTTCCAAATCACATATAAGGCCCCCATCCAAATAAGGTTGCCGACCCCTGCCTTAGCGTCTTTGCCGCTAAGGTGGCTATTTCCCGTTATTGAGACTTTTCCTTGTATTTGAAGAAATTCTTTCAGATTCGCAATAAACATCGCAAGAATTAGCGACTATTATTGATAAATCTCAACTATTTTTCTCTTGTTGAGTTTGGCAGCTGAAGAAAACAAAGCGGTCGACAAAAACACCACTTTCTCCGACTGCCAATAAGAGCGATATTTGGTTATGAATTGGTAGGGAAACCGACCTAATAGGCACAGAGCTGCTTCTGACCGGATCAGACCAGCTCTGACTAGGGAGAAAGTGGAGAAATGGTAGAAAACTGTCATCACTAAATTGTTACCCGTGCTGTTGTTAGTCGATGACATAGGTGTATGGATGTAACGATGCTGGTTTTGCTAATCTTAGAATTTCTTCCATGATATTTTCTTCTTTATGTGATTTTCGCTCGCTTATTTTTCTCTGACTAGGGTCAGATGGTCAGAGATTTTATCGACCTCTGGGCGCGGGCTAGGCAACTGACACCCTATCGCTGATTCTCGACAAAATGCGTTTTCCTCGGTGTTATAGCGCATTCCCTAGAAGACCCGTGAACGGTGAAACATTTCATCTTTGACCTGACCTGTAACGTCATCGGCGACCCCGAGGTCAATGAAATTTGGTTTCCTTCGACAAATTTGACAGGCCTTTCGAACGCCGTTTGAATTTTGCGGATCCGTCCAGTAGTTTCGGAGATACGAGGGGGGGGGCAAAAAATAGCCCCCCCCCACCAGGTCGCGTTATAAACAGACCCCACCATGGCGCGGGTTAAGAACAATTATCGTTATCGTTTTATCGTTTTATCGCTATCGCAGTTATTTTTTTTTTTTGAAATTTTCACGTTTATCGTGTGTTGTTATCGTAAACCTTTCTTATCGTTTTATCGTTATCGCAGGTCCGATAATTAGTTATCGCGGAAAGCACTGGATAAATAGACGCGTTTACATAGGGTTTGTTCCAAGCTTATATCTCCGTCCGTGATGTTGCAAAAGATGCCAATGGTGCTTAAAAATTTACAAAATGATCCCCTCTAAATATTTGAAGACCACTGCATCGAAATTATCGCAAAATTAACGAGCTAGAGCCTCGTCAAAAATGCTATGTAAACCGGGTTAATCATAAGCTTTTACATGTATTTTTCAAGCCTATAATTTAGCTGTACAGACCCCTGTCTTCATGCTAGTGATGAGAAAAGTAGCACAGAAAGGACTCTCTTATATTGATTTTCTGCTGGATTGCCGTGATTTTGATTCAAATCTTTAATTGCTTTACGTATTTGAGGGAAATTTTTCATTGAACTTTCGAGAATTAAATTGAATCACTTATTTGCATCATTTTTGCAAAGTAAGGCTAAATCTGTTGTTATTATGGGAATAGTGCTGATCCCCAATACTTCATCTGAGAACTCGAGACGTCGATGGCGAACAAGTGATAATGAATTGCAATGTTTCCATGATTTTCTGCTCCGTGGCTTTTTCGCAAGCTTTTTGCGATGGGAATGTCTTGTGTAGAATTTAAGTATTTTCATCTGAGTGCTCATTAAGCACTGCTTCAGTCTTTGGTGAGTGTTTTTCTGTGGAAAGTGTTATATTTACGATGCGCTGGATTTGCCGCGGCGTCTGAGGTTGAAGAAATGTCTTATTAATGTGGAAATCTGTGTTGATTGCCATGCCTTTCTTGCAACGAAACTTAATTGCCAGCTATGACTACTGTTACTACATTTTCACAACTTAATGTAGAATTAATCTACGCCATAACAATAATCTTAGTTTGACGGGCGGTTGTCAGTTGTCACTTGTCGCTTGTCAGTTTTGTTCTACACGATTATGTGATCAATAGGTTTCTCACGTGATGTCCAGACACAATCTACAACATAGTTTGCAGTAACTGCATGGAGTACAAGTGCAACATGATTTGGGAGATAGGCGGAAAATAAATGGCAAAAAATAGTGAATGGTGCATGTAGCATGATATCAATATAGATAAATATCATGTTTTGTCAAGGATATTAGGACTACATCTATCTGCCTTTAGCCTACTCTAAGAGCAGCAGGCATTGGTAATGTAAATGCATGGAAAGGAAGAACACTCTTTTATTAAGGTAGAAAATAGGTAGAAGAAATACCTGGATTTTGTACAGTATTTACAAAAAAAAAATCAAATACACATTTAAAAAGAGGTAGGTAGGTAGGTACTAAAGAATTCTGCTTGAGTTAACAATGGGATGTACACATTATCTTTACCTACTTTACTGCTGTCATTGCAGTTTTATAGCCAATATTGATTGTGATCAGTTGTAATTTACAAGTATAGCAGTATAGTTGCAGCTTGTCAGCGTTTGTGAGGAACTATTGCAATTATTGATCGATAGTGAAGCTCAAGCTTCTTCCTGAGTAGAACACATTACTCTTAAAATAATTATCATGTCACAAGCTAAGGTTCCATTAAAGGGACCCTCCCACCTTAACATTAGATTTGAGTTGAGATATCCAAAATGGGGTCCCTGGCTCACAATTACCGGTTTCGGCACTCACAACATCGAGAAATGCCTTAAATCCGAAATATTGAATTTCAAAATTGCAGCATTTTGATTAAGAGGGGCTAATGCATAGGAATACCCCTCTGAATGTGTGACGTCAGCACAGATATCTAACGATTTTTAAATGTTTGACTAAAACGTTTTGTAGCACGCGGTGGTATATGCTGCTTTGCGCGCAACAAATGCTGCACTTTCAAATAAAGTCGCTAGGAACAGCGGAGGTCCCAAAAAGTAAACAAAAGTAAAAGTCTAATATCTTGAAAACCGGTGAATATTTTTCGATGAAATTTGGTAGATATTCGTTTTTGCTCTTTCTGAACCGAGCGACATCACTTTCAATGCCAATTCATTAACTTTTTTGAAGGTGGGAGGGTCCCTTTAACCCTCGCCGTCCAAACCCTATGGTGGTTGCCGCCACCCATAGGGTTTTTTTTCGCGATAGCTCCGAACACGCTGGCGATAGAGAGCTGAAACTTAGTATACCTGACCTTTGATTCAAGCTGGATCTTTTGATACCAACCACATTTTCGGGTCAGGTCAGGTCACTGACCTATGACGTCATAAGTGAACCTCTGCACTGTCTTCAGATGTTGCAACTTCGCAATGCCCTCACTGCCAGAGGAGCTTTCACAGGGAAAGTAAACTTGCAAGATCTAGTATCCATTACGAGTCTCACAACTTGTATATCTCGGATTTTTCCTAAAGGTCATATGAGGTCAGGTCATTTTCGTGACCTCACCATTATAAGTCAATGGGAAAAATGAAAACTGCTATTCTGGCACCAGGAACGATCTCCAACTATCTCAAGCACACAGAATCGTGATTTGATGCATTCCTTGCAAGGTTAGACGCATCACTTTTGCAATGTTGACCCTGCGTGACATCATTTATGACGTCATTAACGTCATATTAGTTTTTCGTCAATAATTCTTGATCAAATTGAGCTAGCGAGTCGGGAAAGCCCCCCAATGGACTCAGGAAGACCTGCCGAATCGAATGATATGCGACATGACCTCTTTCGACCAACTTCGTGACCTGGGGGCGCTGACCTGACCTTGACCTGAGGTCAACACCCTAAGTTGACCTGACCCAAACAAAAAGTATATCATTCGACGCGCCTGAGCGAGGCGAACACGATGCTGCCAAAATCGGCGCTCTGCGGCCGTTTTTTTTTGCGAAGTTATTCACCAAAAACTGAACCGTACCTTGGGGCACTTGACCTGACCTCAGAGATCACCGGTTGACCTAGGACCTTAAAATCGGGTACCAATCTCTGCGTCTCGTAACGGCGCACACGCTCGTTTTTTCCGCGACGCGCTAGCTCCGCCAGGGGCGAAACGGCGAGGGGTCGCACCCGCCCCCCCCCCCCCTCGGCCGGCGCGTATGTAGAAAACCAATAGGTCCGGCGAGGGTTAAGAAAAAAACTGTTGGAAAATAGCTGAGGGAAGTATTACCTAGCTTGGTAAAGACAGTTACTGATTGTCCACCTTGTGGCTTAGTGCATAAATCATCTGCTGTTTAACATGCTGAGAGTGATTTCAGTGCTGGCTCGTGCAGGGAATCTCCAATGCTGTTTGACCCACGTTTCTGTATTGAGCCAGCTGATACCTGGCAAGAGAGGGCCACACTAGATGAGGACTTTGTCACTATGTTCCTGTGATGTGTCAAACTTAAGGCTAAAATTGTAACAGTGAATGATATTCTTAATAAGCACTGCTAGGTGTGGCTCCTGGGTGTAATCAGTAATGGCTGCAGCTAACACACACTGTCTTCCAAGAACACTGTATTGCAGCTGACCGCCGGTCGGCGCGTCCATTGACCTACACAGGACATATTGAGACATTCTCCGCTTTCATCTTCGAAAAATAAGCACGCATCAATACACACATCAACATCACTTACTGGGTGCATGACAAATAGGTACAAAAAGCAATCTCGGAAAATCTACGGCCACATACTCGAGACAAACTAGTGCCATTCATTGAATGTCTTTTTGTTTATAACATGAGTACCGTGAGTAACGCCACATCGATCTATAGGGCAGCGGAGTCGATAGATTTTCGGTGACTCTGACTCTGCAGCCCTGCATGGTCTGTGGAGTCGATGGATTTCCGGCGACTCCGACTCCGATTCCCGCTCCGGTTTCTGAAATCGACTACAACTCTGACTCCTATTAGAACTGTCGACTCAGACCTGTGACATTCTCCATAAATGACATGTTGCCTCCCTTCACCACATACAACTACCAATGGTCCGTGTCACAACAGACCGTCTATCTTCGAACGAATTTCGAACAAAGTTACGAACGAATGGCTGATCTCCAAAACGTCGAGGTCGAACGGAACCGCGAGAAATCGAGCCCAAAAGCCGCCCTGAGCCGTTTGGACTTTATTTCTACAAAAAGCGACAGTTAAGTGTTTCATTACATTTCGAACACAGTGAGTGGCTCATTCTTCTGTTGGAAGCTACGAGCTCCAGCAGTACACTGATTGTTGTGCATTGTGCGGCCGCTGTTCACAGGACGAACGGGAGCGGTCGACGGCCGACTGCCACCATGGGCAATCAGCTGTCGAGCTTTTTCCAGTCGGGCAGCGCGCTGCTTAACTCGAACCACCGCCAACTGAGTGAGCAGACCACCAAGAATGTCCGCTTCCTGTTCGACACGCTGCGGGCTAACCCGCGCAACATGGTGCATCGGCTCCAGCCGGTCCTCTCACAGATCAACAAGGTAGGCGTGAGGCGTGACCGTGCCATGGGGGACGTATTACGGCTTCGTTTGGTTGCATTATGACAAGAGTGAATGTGGTTAGGATATCAAGTGTTTGTTCCTGATTTGTGCGATATGTATCGCTAATATTGCACGTTTCCAATTGCGAAGATGCGGTGGCTCGACCATGGGTCTCTCATGAACATATCCAATATTCACCAGTATGGCGGGCGGGTCTCCACACATTTTAACCCGCTCGTCTACCACAGGGAGAGAACATTCTTCAGGTGCACAACGAGGAGGGCTACAACCTGCTGCAAAAGTGTGTCGGCATGAACAACCTGGATATGGTGCGCTGGATCCTGAGCCGAAACCTGGACGTCAACCGCGGGGTGTGCTCGCTACCCCTTCACATCGCCTGCCTCAAGGGGTCAGTGTGACTACGGTGGCTGGTCCTTACTTTATAGGTTGGCGAGATAGGACAAGCTGACAGGATTTAGGAGGATATCTGTAATGCTGATTTTTGGTCATTCATGTTTTTTTGTAGTGATACAATAGAAGTTAGATTGTAAGCATCATTAGAAAGGGAAAAAGTTAGTGAATAGTTACCTATGCTTTCATGATCTGTAGCTGTTTTGGCCTGATTAGATATTGAGCTGTTGAGCACAGATCGATGACGTCTTTTAGAGGAAAATTAGAGTCGTGAAAAGAAGCCATAACAGATGACGGATAAAAATAATCTGCTCAGCTTCTGATATTTTCAAATGATGTAACCAATTTCTAGCTATCAGGGGTTTAGTTGAGGGCACGGCGCGTAACTGAACTTCTCTTCTCTATTCTGGTCACGCCTCCTCCCCACCCTCTGACGCCTCTGAGTCCCCGTCGGTCCGACAGGTACGAGGACTGTGTGGAGATGCTGCTGAAGCACGGCGCGCGCATCGACGTGGAGGCGCGCATGTGCTGGCCGGGCCCGCACAACCAGAACTGCGAGCAGCGCGGCAACTACAGCAGTCCGTTTGAGCCGGGCGGCGCCGACCAGCGCAGCAGCGACCGGCTCCAGTCGGCCGTCTACTACGCCATTGACGGCGATCAGGTGGGTGGGGCGGTGGGTGGGACAGGGACGAAACAGAGGGTAACAGGGACCGGATGGTGCTGATGTAGTGGCGTGGTTTTGGACTTATAGTCGAGATATTTAGCTTGTATGTGCGACGTTGAGTTGAAAAGACATGGCATCATTACAGTTTGATACCTATGTGACGTCTGGCCCCTTGCTTTTTTGGCTGTTTGTTGGCTTCCTATAAAACTGTTGGATTGTTCTCCTTGTAGCAGTGGACAAATCTATCCTATCGCTTTGAATTTGTCGGCGTGAGGTTCTTAGATTTGTGCGAGGTGTCGACCGTTCGATTTGTGGCACTGGAGCCGGCCGGCTTATGTTTGGTGTCTGACGGCTGTCCTGCTATTCAGGTGGAGATTCTCGAGCTGCTGACCCAGCAGGGCGAGGACCACTGGTTGCCCTGGCACCAGAAGCGGCCTCTGCTACACATTGCCTGCGAACGAGGCGCCTGGAACTGCGTGCAGTACCTGGTATCAGAGAGGTGGGTTATTACGGAATGCTTATTTGGAGACTGGAACATTCAACTGTAAAATATGGCATCACCTGACATTTCCTGACTGAGCTGTGGAGGCCAGAACCAGAGCAACACGTTTTGCGGCTCGCTCCCACTCCCACATGCGGCTCGCACCACCACGTCCGTGGTAACTTTCAAAGCTGCTGTAAACTCTTTATGAACATTTTATCATCATAGTGTGTGTTTTTAAAGTGTATTTCTACGGCGCTTCTAGGCTTACCATTTGTGTTTAATCCTTCATGTTTTTAAAATCTCGTTTAATGTCAGATCGTTTTAGCCACTTATATTCCTACCAATGGTGTTCTTTGTGTGTGTGTGGTAATATATGACGGAAAGCCTGAATAGCCACCATGTGAAAGGTTTTTAAATACACTGATACTGAGACTGATACACTGATACTTTGCTTACCGTGGGTCATGGCCGTGACAATTCACCGATAAAATGTAATGGTTCTGTGGTGTTTTTTTCTAATCGAGCCTCCCCTAATCACGTCTCCGTTACTAAGTTTTCGGGCCTTGTGTCCTTCCAGGTCAGACGAGATTAACCAGTGCTACGACGAGTACTACCCCATCCACCAGGCGGCGTTACATCACGTCCAGTTTCTGGAGAGGCTGATTGCGTGTGGCGCCGACACGCTAGTACGGACATCAACACAGCAGATGACGCTACTACATGTGGTGAGTGGGAGTGGGGCCTGGGACTAACTGGGACTGGGACGTGGCTGGGACTAGAGAGGGAGTAAATACCAGCAGCTCCACACAGCAGAAAACTCTGATGCATTTTGTGAGGCGAAGCAGGATACCTGGACATAGCTGTCCAGATGACCTGGGAGAAGGGCAACTTCACAAAGCTAAGACTGTCTTGGAGGGTATGCCAGTCATTAAGAACAAGCTACTGCTGCATGTAGTAAAGGTGGTGGGCAACCAGACTGAGTGGATGACCTAATGGGGTATTCGAAGCTGAGCACCATCCGCAGCAGCCTTCCTCTCACATCCCCTCCCCTCTCTTCAGGTGTTCCTGTTGGGGAAGAAAACTGTGAGTGACACACTGTGTACGGCCAAACTGCTGCTCGACCACGGTCTGCGGGAGTTGATAAACGAGCCGGACTCGCTGGGGAACACGCCTCTGCACGCGCTCATCGCCAGGTGGGTGCCTCATCTGGGCTGACGACGGAAAACTTCTGCAGTAGTGTGCTGGCTTTCAGAAACCCAATAATCCTGGTATTCAGGATCTGGGACGATTTTATCTACTTGTAATTCCAATTTCTTTGAATTTAGGTAATTACGAGCGAGCGAGCGCAGCGAGCGAAGCGAGTCTTTTCAATACCAGTAAAACGCCTTTTGGGCGAAGAACGAGCGAGCGAGATGGTGAGCCCTGCACGTGCGGAAGGGCGAGAGGGTACTTCCAACGGGCTTGCGCAAAGCACCTTTCTAACCGGTCGCTAGCGGTGTACCAAATTTGAACGCCATCGGCCCAGCCGTTCCTGAGATCTGGAAGCGGCATTCTGCACGTGCGCACGTGCAAACGGGGCCGAAACTGACTTTTGCACGGCACCCTACTAACTGGTCCCCAACCGTGTACCAAATTTGAGCGCAATCGGCCCAGCCGTTCTCGAGATCTGGAAGCGCCCCCTGCACGTGCGCACGTGCAGTAGCACCTTAACCGCAAACATGGGAATGCATTGTCTGGTGGGTGCCTACCTGTATGCCAAGTTTCAGCAAAATCGCCCCAGTAATTACCGAGTTATTAAAATGGGAACAAATTTGACACCTCTTATTGTTGTATTTTGCACGTGCACTGGGGGTGACCCACATGCATCGAGAGTATCCTATTTTTGGTAGAAGGGATGCTGCTACCCTACAAAAATTAGCGCAAGCCAATCGCCCAAGCGGCTGCTGAGATATGAGCCTCTCAAAATCACTACTTTTGCAAAACAGCTTGAACACCCTTGACTTTTCACGTGGCACGTGCCACGACGGTCACTGAGATGTATCAAAAGTAGTCAATTACAGGGTAGAAGGGATGGGGCTACCCAACAAAAAGACCGCAGGCCAATCGGTCCAGCGGTTGCTGAGATATAAGCCTCTCAAAAGCGTTACAGGCCGGGCCGGGCCGCTCATACTGAGATTTTTCCGTTATTACGAGCGAGCGAGCGCAGCGAGCGAAGTGAGTCTTTTCAATACCAGTAAAACGCCTTTTGGGCGAAGAACGAGCGAGCGAGATAGTGAGCCCTGCACGTGCAGAAGGGCGAGAGGGTACTTCCAACGGGCTTGTGCAAAGCACCCTTCTAACCGGTCGCTAGCGGTGTACCAAATTTGAATGCAATCGGCCCAGCCGTTCCTGAGATCTGGAAGCGGCATTCTGCACGTGCGCACGTGCAAACGGGGTCCAAAATGACTTTTGCACGGCACCCTACTAATCGGTCCCCAACCGTGTACCAAATTTGAGCGCAATCGGCCCAGCCGTTCTCGAGATCTGGAAACGCCCCCTGCACGTGCGCACGTGCAGTAGCACCCTAACCGCAACACATGGGAATGCATTGCCTGGTAGGTGCCTACCTGTATGCCAAGTTTCAGCGAAATCGCCCCAGTAATTACTGAGTTACTGAAATGGGAACAAATTTGGCACCTCTTATTGTTGTATTTTGCACGTGCAGTGGGGGTCACTCACATAGATGAAGAGTATCCGACCTTTGGTAGAAGGGATGCAGCTACCCTATAAAATTGACCGCAAGACAATCGCTCAAGCCGCTGCTGAGATATGGGCCTGTCAAAATCATTACTTTTGCAAAACTGCTTGAACACCCTTGACTTTTCACGTGGCACGTGCCACGGCGGTCACTGAGATGTATCAAAAGTAGTCAATTACGGGGTAGAAGGGATGGGGCTACCGAGCAAAAAAGACCGCAGGCCATTCGGTCCAGCGGTTGCTGAGATATAAGCCTCTCAAAAGCGTTACAGGCCGGGCCGGGCCGGGCCGGGCCGCTCATACTGAGATTTTTCCGTTATATTGAAAAGACTTCGCTTCGCTCGCTGCGCTCGCTCGCTCGTAATAACGGAAAAATCTCAGTATGAGCGGCCCGGCCCGGCCCGGCCCGGCCCGGCCTGTAACGCTTTTGAGAGGCTTATATCTCAGCAGCCGCTGGACCGATTGGCCTGCGGTCTTTTTTGTTGGGTAGCCCCATCCCTTCTACCCCGTAATTGACTACTTTTGATACATCTCAGTGACCGTCGTGGCACGAGCCACGTGAAAAGTCAAGGGTGTTCAAGCTGTTTTGCAAAAGTAGTGATTTTGAGAGGCTCATATCTCAGCAGCCGCTTGGGCGATTGACTTGCGGTAATTTTTGTAGGGTAGCAGCATCCCTTCTACCCAAAATAGGATACTCTCGATGCATGTGGGTCACCCCCAGTGCGCGTGCAAAATACAACAATAAGAGGTGCCAAATTTGTTCCCATTTCAGTAACTCGGTAATTACTGGGGCGATTTCGCTGAAACTTGACATACAGGTAGGCACCCACCAGGCAATGCATTTCCATGTGTTGCGGTTAGGGTGCTACTGCACGTGCGCACGTGCAGGGGGCGTTTCCAGATCTCGAGAACGGCTGGGCCGATTGCGCTCAAATTTGGTACACGGTTGGGGACCAGTTAGTAGGGTGCCGTGCAAAAGCCATTTTGGACCCCGTTTGCACGTGCGCACGTGCAGAATGCTGCTTCCAGATCTCAGGAACGGCTGGGCCGATTGCGTTCAAATTTGGCACACCGCTAGCGACCAGTTAGAAGGGTGCTTTGCGCAAGCCCGTTGGAAGCACCCTCTCGCCCTTCCGCACGTGCAGGGCTCACTATCTCGCTCGCTCGTTCTTCGCCCAAAAGACGTTTTACTGGTATTATATTGAGGGCAAGCAGAGCTAGTTTTCTGTGCAGTGTGCAGTATATTCTCCAACAAGACACGCCATGCACTTGCCACCTACCGCGTGTGAATGTTATGTTCACTTTTGGCATTTCTGAAAACAATTACCATTTACCAATGTGAACCTCGTATGACATTGTCTAAGCCCCAAAGTCACCGGATCTGCCCTCTGCCACACACACCACACACCTTTGACACTTCCCGTTATCCTGGAAGCCGCACTACACAGTACACGGCCCATTCGTAACCATACTCGCTGTCCCGGCTCGTATCCAGGTACGCGCTGGAGGAGGCGCGCTACGGGTACGACCACGAGCCGCCACCGTGGACCAAGTGGGACACGCTTCACCTAGTGCGCTACCTCCTCCAGAACGGCGCCGCGCCGAGCATCAACCAGCAGGGCAACAGCGCTCTGGCCTGTGTGCTGCGGCACGTCAGGGACTGGGAGTTTAGGTGAGGGAAAGCGTGAGGGAGGGGAGTTGCGGCGGAAAAAGAGCTAGATGGTTGAGGGATGAGAACCCAATGAAGCGATGACTGGCGGCTCAGATAAGGCTGAAAAACGATAGTAAGACTGGCGTGTGCAAGTCAGTCTCAGGAAGAAGTAAGAGGTGGCTATTACGCGAGGGAGGGAGTTCGAGTGAGGGGTGGACGGAGTTGGCGAAAAAAGTAATGAATGTACAGTGTTCAGGTGAGTGATGGATGGGTGAATGGGGAAATGGGTGCGTGCACTGACAGTGAAGGAGGAAAGTGGAAACATACAAAGCATTAAGTGGTCCTCTTTGCGGAGGATAATGACATGATTTGTTTAGAAAAAAATATGGTGAATATGTGTAGCATGCCTAAGTTTCTGTGTCATTTGACTTTGCATTAGACTGTGCGACTTGTCGACAAGTCATGATCGTCTCACTGGCTAGCTCCTGCCACACCCCTATCTGAGACTCAGGCTCACTTCCTCCCTGTCTGCGCCACCAGGTACGAGCTATTGGACATGCTGCTGCAGAACAGCGGCAACCCCAACATCGTGGGCCGTGACGGCTCTGTGCCGCTGATGGTCTGCCTGGTGCCGCTCATCAACAAGGACCCGCTGCACCACTTCAACCACACCATGAAGGTGTTCTACCTCAACTGTGTGCGCATCCTCTGCAAGCACGGCGCCAACCCCAACTGCTCGTCGCGCAGCAACCTGACGCCGCTGCACGTGCTCATGTTCACTGCCTCGGAGAACATCGCGCTCAGCCGAGAGGCGGAGAAGGCGCAGGCGTTCGACTTCATTCGGCAGCTGCTGGTGATTCTGCTCCAGCACGGACTCGATCCGAACGTGCGCTTCAGTCAGCGGTCGCACCACATCCTGCTGTCGGTGATCGACATGGTGTCGTCGGCACGCAGCGCCGCCGACCTGGGGCACGTGCGTGACCTGACGCTGACACTACTCCAGTACGGCGCGGACCCAAACGTCGCCATTAGCACGAGCAACGAGCCGAAAATCTGCCACTCACAGTCGTCCGTATTCCTGAAGCGGTCGTCGCATCAGGTGTTGTATTTTTACATCCAGCGGCTGATCCGGCGCGAGGAGCTGCTCCTAGACCCGGAGAGGCGCTTTGAGCGCATCATACGGCTGTACTACATGTGTATGGACCACAGCGTGCTGTACAGTTGTCTGCGGCTGCTGCACACGCAGGCCACGCTGGCGCCCATCAAGTGGCAGCTGGCCAGTCTGCTACGTCAGCTGCAGACCAACCCGCGGACTCTGAAACAGATTTGTCGTGTGACCATCTACGGTGCGCTGAGGCGTCGGCCCGGTCCCAACGTCAGTAAACTGCCGCTGCCAGCACAGCTCAAGGAGTACTTGCTGAACTTTGAGCCGTAGTGGCCGACGGTGCCGCGGCGGACGGCCGCTCGCCGGGCGAGCCGCGCCGCGCCGGGTGGTGGGCGACCCCCTCCTCCCCGCCCGCCTCTCGGTTGGCCGGAGACCCGGTAACGCGCCTCCGCCCGCGCTCCGAAGGCCTTGACGTGATCTGTGGCGGCGCAGGACGCCAGTGTGATCTCCGCGGCGGGACGGAGCGGCCGACCGACCGGGCGACTCCGACCCGACCCGACCCCGTGCTGCGTGCTGAGTGTTAGTTCTTATCTGAGGTACGTGAGTAGCGTGAAAGTTTGGTGCAATAGGTGATCGACAGCTGAGTGATATTGAATGTGATGCGAGCGAGAGGACTGGGCGCGTGGTAAGTGCTCGATATTTGTGTGATATTGTCTGAGAACGACCCGCGGCTATCCCCTCCTGTGTGATCTAACGCGGGCGGTCCTCTGTGATGAGTCGGCGGACCTCAGTCTTCGCGTGTCGCTCCCCGACCCGCCACAGTCGGCGCCGCCACAGAACGCACAGAGACGGGGTCTGCGGTTTTGACCTAATCAGTATTTAAGACGTTTTGTTATTTGTGTTTGGCCGCTGCGGCGCGGCCGTGCCGGGCCCGGCGGAGCTTCGGTCGGCCAGTCGCCTCGGGTCGCCGGGCCGGGCAGGGCCGCGCCGCCAGCGGCCGTTCTGAGCTTACACGCAGTGGGGCCTTCGTCCCTCAGTTTAGGGCTGGGCAGAACGTACCGGGGGAGGGGAACGAAGTGGCTGCCAGGTTTGAAGGCCCGCCACACGGTAAGAGCTATGCGCTTTTTGGTTCTTCGCCTTTTCCCGTCTTTATTCATTCACGTAGCTCCTCTTCCAGCTATCCACCGATCTTCCGATTTTATATCATGGATAAGGCAGCCATGTGTCTCAAGTAACATAGACTGTTCATTATCGCCTCAGACTGACTGCATGCTAAGGCTGCTTTCTTTACCGAGTGCGGCTTCCATTATTCTAGGGCTATACTCCAGGCATATCTTGAGAAAAAAAGCAGAAAAGTGAGTATCGCCTGCCGTGTCGCCCGTTCAGTTGCCGTCGCCGCCGCGCTGGATAACGGATGTGTTATGTGCCGACTCGGGGACCGCTGCGTCTCGCTGATGGTGAAAGTGCGTTCCGTGACGGGTGAATTGGTGCTCGTGCTAACCAGTTCCTCCCAACCGATTGTGCATGGTCCTTCTTGTTGGTAATCTGCGTTCTTTATTTTGTCTTTACAATGAGTCTCGTCTGCCTCAGTGTCCTCGATAGATTACTACCGTTGTTCTCGTCTTTGCCTGTTCCTTTACCGAGTCTGACTTTGTTTGGTATCTATCTGGGGATGTATTGCGATGCTTGGGACATGATATGACCGAATATCAGGTGACCTTCATGCAGCCGCCACCCGTCAGGGCCCATCGCGCCACTGCGCTGGGGCGCGGTCGGCTGGCCCGGTTCTTTCAGTTGTGATCGGGGACGGGACTCGGCCCGACCTCCCCAGCCCGTGATCGGTATGTGCGCGTGTGTGTGCGCGGAGGGGCGGTCTGTGCTCGGTTTGGGTGGCCCTCGGCCGCCGGCGCCGTGGATAGGAGGGTCGAGCGTCGGCTGACCGTGGACCGTCCATGAGCCGGGAGTCCCCGCGTCAGTGGTCCTCAGCGTGATGTCATGACTCGTATGACTCTGATGTGCGTCTCGAGTCAGCCGGTGTAGGCCCGCTGGGCCCGTGTGATTGATTCAGTCCTATTGATTGGTGCTCGCGCGTGTGTGGCGAGCTGCTACGGCGCGTGCCGCGGCTCTCGCCGTCCCGCCCACCGTTGTTAGGTAATCTCCCGGCCGGCAGCGCCGCCTCAGTCAGAGGAGCCGCCGCGCCGCGTTATACTGTGTTCGCCTGAGGGTCGCGCGGGGATGGCACAGGGCAGGGGTGGGTAGGAGGGGAGGCCTCCCTCGACATGTCAGTGTTCACTGTACAGATATGAGTGGTCTACTTGAACGAACTTATATTATGATTTGTTAAATATATCGAATGCGACCGTGCCGGCTGTGTTGGGAGGAGCACGGACTGAATTCAGGCCGGCATCGGCACTTGTTCAGTTCTACAGAAAATTGTGCGTGGCCCAGCATCATGCCAGCGGTAGGAGCGATACTGAGTTTTTGGTACCTAGTAGGAGCAGAACTTAGCGCAACCGTGGGTAAAAAAGTGACGGCGTTGAGCGCGCAGCGAAGCCCAAACAAGATCACATAAATCGCTGATGACTCCAAGGAGATGATCGACAGAACTCGTCATGTTCTCGGGTGTGTTTGGAGAAATCTGCCACACCAAAGTCCAATGCCCAATGCTTCATGCTTACCAGAGCCTTGATAAAATCACCACAAAGTAGAGATAATGGTTGACCTAAATGCATTCATTATATTGATGCAGTTGTTCCTATGTTTGCAGCATGATTACAAACAAAACAAGGAAAGTACATGAGAAGGTCTAACAATGCAAGTAAGAGCACCCATAGACATCAACAAATGAGAGCAGATATGACACAGTCAGTGCCGGATACATCCCTTCGCTTGCATACATTCACCTCCGGATATATTCTTTCGCTGGACATATTCTCCATAACACAAACCATTCGACAACGACGACGTCCCACATCAAAGCCCAAATAATGTGTCAGACAACTCCGAAATGCAACCGCATTAACATACAGCCCGAGCCGGCAACTCACCAATTGCTGTTTGTAGGAGTTACCATTGTCCGGGACACAGACACAAACGAGAGAAAGACTCCTAGATGGTCCTAGTGTCGCAGAATGGACTTGCAGTCATGATCATGACGCAGCACACATAGATGCATCCTGTCCCAACACCTCAGGCCTCGCTGGGGTATCTCCGGCGGCCCTTTCAGCTTCTCTGGGACCGTCCGTCCGTTCGGCTCGGTCTCGTATCACTGGGCTGTATCTTGGTACACAGTACACACAGTCCACACTGATCGCGTCTGTACCAGTGGAGCTATGTCCGGCCCAGCTGCGGGCGACAGGCGGCGGCTGCCAAGGCGACTCATCCTGCCTCAGCGGCCGCTCTATCCGGGAGAGACGACCCTCCACCGGCGAGGACGGGGTATCCACAGTGGATTGGACACGGCTGTCCTACCGGGTGTCCACCTGTGCGTCCCGGGCCAGCACGGAGCTCTCGAACCGCACCATAAACGTGGTACCCTTGTGCCAGTGAGCGGTCACCTTAGCCGGCTGAAACAGAGGGGGGGATGGGGGCTAGCTGAGCAAACATCAGCAGCCATGGATTGAAGTAGCCAACTGATACGTCCTAAGATTTAAACAAAGGGCAGTAAATAACATCGAAAATAAAAGTAGGCGGAGGTGCAAACAATGAAGCACCAAACATCAAATAGCTGGTGGAACGAGAGCCGAAACAGCGGCGTAGTGTCACCAGTTATGGGATGAAAAAGGAGCCGGGTAAAAGAACCAATAGAACAATGAGGGACAGGGGACAGCAAAAGAGCTATAGCAATGGGCGGGTGGCTCACTGGGCTGAGTGAGAAAATGCAGTTTGTTGGCATTAACTAAGATGAAAGGTGTGCACGGGTCAACTCAATTGGACAGGGATCGTGTCACGTTAGCGAATGACAGAACACCACTGGTCGATCCAGAGACTGCCGGTAAAGGCCATGCTATTGAAATGACATGATAGATGATCTGACGAGCTTCGCCACAATATGCTGATATCTGATCACTAAAACTTCAACCGGCCTCACCCACTCACGAGTCCTTGTCCCAAGATTCCCGCCAGTAGTCTCCAACTCACAAAGTTGGATCCGCACAGTACGGCCTCGATCATGCCGGCCACGTATGCAGCGCAGTTGAGGCTGCCCTTGTCCTTGGGCACCGAGATGAACGTGTTGACCAGCGGCTCCTTCTCGATGATGTAGTACATGCGCTGGTCGTCGTTGGCGTGCTCCAGCTTGTCTGCCTCCTTCCCGAACAAAGTCTGGGTGGGGTGAAGGACAACGTTATGGCAAAAGTGTCTGGAGGAATATCTGAATAGTTGTTGTAGCTACATGTGTGACAAACAGTAACTGCTGTGGGTTTAGGCCATGAGTGTTCCATCATCAAAACATTAGTGGTTCAATGTAGGTGCCATACCGCTCGGCCTCGAAATATTCCCCTGATCCGATAGGTGATTTGTAGACTACTGCTATCTTCTCTGATCAAACATTTGGGAGGAGGCTATCAAAACAGGTCGCATAACAAGACAATGACATATCATTTACCTTCCAGAATGTGCCTTTGATGAACAGCAGAATGTTGAGTATCTTCGTTTCTCTCTTCAGGTTCCGCTCTCGGACCACAATGAGATCCAACATGCGGATACCGACCTGATAACCCATCTCAGACAGCCTGTGAAAAAGATGGACAAAGGTTTCATGCGGACGCGGTAAAGACTTCCTGATACCCGTTGGTGTCAGGAAATGTAAGGAATGTCTATTTCTTTTGCAATATTCCTCTTAACTCGAGCTCTGACGGAGGCATTTTTTCGCCTCAATCCTCAATCACCTCAGCTTTTCAGCGAACGTCAGCAGCTGAAGTAATAGTGAACACCTGAAACAGGTGTGATTTCTCTCAGGCGCGGATCCAGGGGGGGGGGGGCGACGGGGGCGGCCGCCCCCCCCCCCCCGCCATCCGAAAAAGGCGCCCATATCCCGCGGCAGAGAGGGCGCCCCGAGCATAAGAGCGGCGACACAGCAAAGGTTCAGCAGAAATAGGGCGCCTCCAGCAGAAGTTGGGCTCACCAAGCAGGAGAGTGACGCCCAATTGCCTATTCCCAGCAGATGAGAGTCGCCCCAGCAGCAGATGGGCGCCCCCAGCAGAAGAGGGCGTCTCGTTACAAGAATATAAAATAGGGTGAAAAGGGGTGCCTCTGGCAGAAGAGAGACGTTCCCCGCAGTGGAAGGGCGCCCCCACAAGAGTGGCGTCTCCAGCAAAAGAGAAGTGCCCCCTGCAAGAGAGGGACACCCCACCAAAGTTGGGCAGAAGTGGGGCGCCTCCAGCAGAATTTGGGGTCGCCCAACAGGAGAGGGCCGCCCTATTCACAGGAGAAAAAAGACTCCTCAGTAGCAAAGGGGCGCCCTAACAGAAAAGGTGCACTCGTAGCAGAAGTGGGACGCATCAGGAAGAAGAGGGGCACTTCAAGCAGAAGATGGGCGTCCCAGATAAGTGGGCCGCCTACAGCAAATTGGTCGTTCTTAGAAGCAAGAAATGAGGCGACTGAAGCAAAGTGGGTCTCTCCATAATGGATTAGGCGATCCAAGCAGAGGTTGGGCGCCCCCGGGAAGTGAGGCATACCAGCATAAGTGAGACGCTTCCAGAACAAGGAGGGGGCATCACCGGGAGAAGGACTGCACCAGTAAATGGAGGCCATCTTTTTGCTAATATCTTTGGCTAGGGTAGCGGTGCCCATCTACGACTTTTAACCCGCGCCGTGCTGGTGGTCTGAGTTATCCGTGTCCTGCTGGGGAGGGGGGGGGGACACACTCCCTCGTCTAACTCGGCTCCTGGGCCGCGTAGTGACACGCGATAAGCGGCATTCGAAAGATCGTCAAAAAACAGGACGAAAACAAAACGGTCATATTTTAGGTCAGGTCGAATGTCAGGTCACCAGAGGTCATCAAAGGTAAAATGTTGCCTGTTTCAACAATTTTCCGTTTTCGAAGCAGCGGCACATAACTCGGAAACCAATAGAGCTATAGCGCCGCAGAAAAGCGCATTCGATAGCCCTTTTAAAAGTGTTTCTGCAAGCTGCGCTCAGATTTGACCTCAGGTCAGCGGTTTAGCCTTCAGAGGGCAAAAGACTAAAAATAGCCTTTTTACGAACAATGTTTTCCTGAACTAACTTTTGACTCAAGAGAGTCTCGACATTACGTTTGCCAGCATTGCGTTTCTGTCGTCGAGACACGTCGACCAAACTAAAGGTTGACCTTATGAAAGGCAATTTTGAGAATTTGACCTCAGGTCAAGGTCATGATCTGACCGGGAAAGGTCATGCTGCATAGCAGTCGATGCGTATCGTCGAGCTGAACACAGCTGATGTGTTTTTATCGCTCTAGCTTGAATCTATCAAAAGCTATTTAAAAAAAAAAAAAACTGCTGCGGACCTTTCATGACATGGGATGACCTCTGGGACATAATGAATGGTCACACTAGGTACAATGTTCTTATTCAGTGTGTTAATTTTATATGTATCCCAATGCTTGATATTGTCTAAAATGGCGCTCGTCCAAAAGAGATGCCTTTCAGTTTTCTCCCAAAGACTTAATTATACCTACCTACCTAATGGAGACGTCGCACAACTGACCTGACCTTAGGTCACAGATATCGAAATTCCGAGATATACATTTCATGAGTAGTGTTGCTTTCATCAATCGCTGAAAGGTTCAAAGCAATCGTTCAGTCGGTATAGCAATGGTAAGCATTTGAACTTTTTATTAGGCTAGGTCACTTGGCATAACCTGGTGACCTGACCTTCCATCACCCGCGTCAGACATTTTTACAACATGTGCAAAAAAGATGCATGATAAGGTAAGCTGAAAATGGCGGCGCTGCGCGCAGCCGTCTTTCAGATATTTGCGAAAAACCTGAGGGGGAGCGCGATAACGCCCCCTAGCACGGCGCGGGCTTTTAGCTCCCGATTTTGACGGTTTGGCGCTCCCTTTGTATGGAGCGCCCCCGGATTGCCAGGTCGCCCCTATTTCGACTTGCCGCCCCCCCCCCTCCCGAAAATTCCTGGATCCACCCCTGATTTCTCTCACCTGTTCTGCAGCTCGGACACCGACTGCACCCGGTTGTGGGTGTAGTGCACTATTTCGGCAAACAGCAGCGCGAACAGACTGAGGCTCACTTCGCTCTTGCCGCGGCTCAGCGGCCGGTCCAGAATGCTCGGCTTTGACTTGGAGGACATCATCACGGCTGGTCAAATCACTGTCGAGGATGCCCGAGCTGGGGTTCAATCAACTGCGCTGGACTCCTGAAATAAAGGAGGTTCATTCATTCAAAGGAGGTTCAACTTACATAAGCTACAAGTTACACACATTGGATTTACCTAGGTAGGTACTTTTCTTTATGAATTACCGGACAAAGCTTTCATCAAAATAACTTTCGTGCCTAGTCCCAATTCATCGACAACAGGACAGAGCTCAAAAATGAGCGCAAACATTCGAACCAGGGCACTGTGGATCATCTAGTATGTGAGGGGAGGGCGACGGTCAAGTTTCTACATTTCAAACGGTCTAAACTTAATCCGGAAAGGCCATCAAAATGATTACAGAGGTCCCTTGATCCGTACGAGAAGATCACCTGCCAGTCTCAGCTGAGGCCCCACACCCGTCCCATGAGTGTTAGCAACGGCCTTAGAGAGCGCACATCGGCCTCAGAGAGCCTACATCAGTCGCAGAGGGCCCACACCGGTCCTCTAAGGCCGGTGTCACCAGCGTTAGAGGACCCAAGCCGGCCTCAGAGGCCGCATATCGGCCTCAAAGGGCCTTCACCAGTCTCAGAGGGCCCACACCTGCCACAGAGGGACCACACAGGCCTACAAGGACCCACACCAGCCTCAGAGGGTCCGTGACGCCCTCAGCGGGCTCATACCAATCTAAGAAAGCCACATCGGCCTCAGAGGATTCACACCAGTTCCAGCGGGCCCACAACGGCCTCAGAGAGCCCATGCCAGCCTGGCAAGGCCCGCACCGGCCCAAGAGGATCCATGTTAGGATGAGAGGACATCACACTGCACTGGCTTGAGAGGAATGAAGAGTTTCTGCCTAGCGGGCTAATGGGACGCAGAACCCATGACCCCACAGGACTCCCCGTTCCCCACAGGACTCCCCACAGGTTCCAGCCCTACTTGAGACCGTGTTGGGCCAACTGGTCTCATCACTCGGTATCAGAATCAGCATGTGCCATGTGGCGTACACTGACGGTAGGAACACGAGCCTGAGATGCTTGAAAACGCCAGGCAGAGTCAGAGCCAATAAGTTTTGACGACACTCACTGACTCCAGCCAGACATGTAGCCTCAGACTCTCAAATCTTTTAGATATTTTGGTATTGGTATATAAAATGTCTGAGTAAGTTGTACGCTGGTAGGTTTTGGGTTGGTAGGTTGTAGGTATGTAGGTTGTAGATTTGCAGGTTGTAGGTTAGTAGGTTAGTACCTAGGTAAGGTTAGGTCTGGTTAGATGGATTTTATCTTTACTCATACTTTTTCTACACTTTTCCTGATGTTTCTGCATTCAAAAACAACTAGAAAAAGTCAAAATGGTATGATCCTTTGGTAGACCTTATCACCTTCCCATTCCTCATCACCAAAAATGAAAAAGGCTGTGTCTTTCAGCATATCTTTGCAATAGGCCATCAGCCCCTCATGGCTCAAGGCCTTACATGGAACCTCAGAATTCAGTGTGAGGCCCTCAGTGGTTTGCCCAGACCACCTTAGGCTGTGGGGACTGTGGGGCCTTCATAGGACCGTTTTGACCTGCTAGAGACTGGAGTGGGGCCTGAGAGATCTCTGTGAAGTGTGGAGACCATCAAAAGTCCAGTTTTGGAATCAAACAATCCTCAGACATTCACATGAACATGTCATTCAGGGGCTGGTGTGCAGCCCCCAGAAACCCATGAGGAAGCCTAAGAGATAAGCATGAGTCCTCAAGAACCTAAACAGGGAGTTAGGGCCTTCAGTGGTCTATGAGGTGCCATCCAGAACCTATGTTAGACACCCAACTTGGTAGGTATATAGGACCTTGCCCAACTCTATGACAATATGCAGGGCCATCAGTTGGTTGGGACCACTGGAACTTGAAACCCTCCCCCACTAACCAGCAAAGATGAGCCCCCAGGCTCAGATGCAGGCTTTGGGGCCCCAGAACCCTGAGTCCTCAGAGGCCAGCAACAGGCAATGGCTCACAAAATGCCTCAGAAGCTTGCATGGCTAAAAGGGCTTTCAAAGGCACATCACAGAGCGTGCCTTAAGAACACTGAGGGCTGTTCTGGACGGTCCATTCAGAATAGATATGTGCTGTATGCATCATACTTGGCTGGCATCAGCCACCTGGCTTCGCCCACTCTCTGCCGGCCATGCAGGCGGCAGGCCAAGCGCTGCTGCAGCATATTCAATGTGTGGTGAAACAGTGAGACAGGTGGACCGGTAGTTTACATTAAAAATGGTTTAAATGTGATTAAATATAGTAAATAACTAGCAATGTCCCACTGAAAAGTCACAATGAAACAAAAAAAAAAAAACAAAAATAAAGATAAAACTTCCTTACAGGAAATAAAGGATGGTACTTTTAACTTGGCACTTGCCCACTTTTGTCTCCTGCAGCATCAATTTTTTATGCCGCACATTTGAGAAGCATGTCGCCAGGCATGCTGTGATAGGTGACATCACACATGCGTCATGCAATGATGCGCCGCCACCAGTGTGGGCGGGACTAAAGGGCATAATATCTCTCACAGTCTCACTGTACAGTGTACAGCATGCTGCAGCATATTTTATTTTTGCTGCACAGCCAAACAGCTCTTTGGCGAAGCCTCAAATACCAGCCTAACTTTAGAAGAATCAAATCAAACAAGAAACTGAACAACGCTGGCCAGCTTTCAGAGTAATCCGCATAAGCACCATCAGCATCTTTGTGCGGTGAGACAGCAAAATCTTCGCACTTCTTAGCGAATACCATACGATTCATATACCATTCGAAAGAGCTTGTATTGTTCATTGTTAGCATTTGCCGATGGTAAAATTAATGCTAAGTCAGTCGGGGAAACTATGGTAAAATCTGCTATTTTTAGCAGTCTGCTATTTTTAGCAGAAATCTGCTAAAAATGGGTACGCATGTGACGTCATCGTACCCAAATATAGCAGATTTGGGTACGGCCCCATACAAAAGCAGATCTGAGGCCAGTTTTATCAAAAAATACCAGCCGGCCGCCGAAATAAAATATCCAGCCGAAAAAATAGCCGCCACACAGCCACGAGTTTCACCAACAAAAAAATTCCAGCCAACATCGGCCGGAAATATTTGTCGCCGGCAGTCAGCTGATATTTTAATATCGATAATGGTCAAGGAGATTGATAAATTATTTAAAACATGTTTCAAATAAAGTTAAGCGTGTTTTTTTAAAGCAAATACAACAAAGATTGAGAAATATTATTATTGGAAAACATAACATATATTTTCAAGAGTTGTAACCACAAAATAGACCATAATAAACTTGCCAATACAAGACCACCAAATTGTAAACATACGTCATTTATGACGGTCACGATAGGAAGCGTGCGTTTTAGTGGATCTTTTTTTCCTGTCAGCCTATTATTTTTCATTTTTACAATACCTTCAACTTGCAATTAACCTTTTTGTCTACTTTTAGTTGCACCTTGTAGAAAATAATCGTGTCGAACGTGCACGCAATGTATGGACCCCCACTCCCACCTTTTATGAGGTGGGGACTATAATAGATGGGACCCGCTCCCGACGCGGGAGTCGCACCTCTTTCCTAGATGTCAAAAGAGTGGGGAAGAAGCGGCAAACATTGTTCCCAGAGGCGCCACCTGAAGCTGGACGGACAGTTCCGCTGCCGAGCGAGTGAACTGCGGTGCTGCGAGGCGGCTTCGCGCGCACTGCATTACACCTACTTCTAGGTCCATCTAGGACCAAGAGGGCTAAGGATTCGCCAAAGCCTATATGGGTAAAGCCTTGTGCCAAGGCGAGTGTCATACCTCAGGAAGATACCTACCCAGATTAACTGCACCGCGGTCATTGCAGGGCTGAGGGCGGTCGTTCGCCCCACTTCGGCGAGGTGGAGGTCATGCTGCCCGGCTAGGTGGTTTCAGCCGATATGCAGGCCCCGTTTGCCGGGCCCGATCAAGACGAAGGAACGCCACACAGCAAACAATATAAGCTCCGGCCCCGCTACACTGGTCCGGCTCGTAACAATACCTGCGCTAGCTTCGTCGACCGTCGTTCGACTGCGCCCAGTACCGCTCAGTGGAGAGTCCTGCCGAACTCGTCCACGTGTGCCGAGATCATTCGTTGCGCACGGACACAATCGTCCGACGGAGACCGCTTTACATGATGATCGCGTGGTGACCACCTTTTCGCCGGCTTCCACGCCCAGTCGAGCCGTCTGGCTACGCCCCAACCAAATGATCGTTCTAAGCCTTTCGACTGGTTTGCAAAACTCGGGTCTAATATCGAAGTATTTGGGAGTTAGGACACGTTAAATCCGTGTTCATGAACAAATATACATTATGCAACTAAAAACGCCTTACCTACTTTAACTTTTCTGGGCTGATGACAAGGTAAACACCTATTCATTGTAATATTTCTAAAATGTAAATAAATCATGAGCGATGAGCGTAAAAAAGGTGAAAAAAGCGATCAACTAGAAGCTAGCGTGGAAATCCACTGACGTAGGTCGCCTCGTACTGGCGCAGCTCGTACAGCGGCACCGGCGTCTCCCGCACCCGGCCGTCCACCTTGCCCGCCTGCGCCATCAGCCGCTAGAAATGGCTGCGCTGCCGCTCAAACATTAGCGTGACCGCCTGGACGGCCCGGCTAACGCGCGCCGTCCGACGCACGCAGTGTGCCTTCAACAGCGCCGGGATGTCGTACGACACGACCACGTCCACGGCGTCCACGTCAATACCGCGCGCTATAGCCTCGAGCACACCAGCATCTCAGCTGGCGCGCGCCGCCGCCGCGCTGGCCCGCCGGCACTGCCCCAGGGAACTCGGCCTCGCGCGCGCCCAGCACCGACAGCGGTAGCTCCAGCTGGTGCGCTGCCTCGTTCCAGTTGACCAACACGAGCGAGCGCCGCCAGTCGGGCTGTCGGAGCAAATTGTGCATCAGCAGCGGCTTCAGCGGCTGCGGCGCCACCACGTTGAACGACTCGCTCAGCTCGGCCGGCGTGGTGAACCTGCCGACGAACTGACCGGGCAGTGCGACGGCGGCCGGCCGTGCCGGCCACCAGCAGTCGCGGCTGGAACAGCGACATTCGCTCCAGCTTCTCCGGCCTCCGGGCTCTGTGACAGGGTAGCCAAGAACGGCAGCTTCTGCAGCGGCAGGTGAGGCGCGCAGACGGCGGCGGCCGTCAGCCGGCCGGCGATGCAGGGCGGCGGGCCGTGGCTGCCGCCACCCGCTCCACCGCTTTCAGCCAGCCCGTCTCGGCCATCTCGATCACCCGGTCGGCTTCGTCGATCACCAGGTAGCGCAGGTGCGCTAGCGAGAAGCCCTCGGCGCTGGGTATACTTCGTCTCCACCCAGCAGCCGGACGCAGAGCGGCGTGTCGGCGTCGTACTGGCGGAACACGGCGGGCACCTGAGCGGGCAGCGCCTGTGTGGGTAGCACAGCTAGCGCGCGCACCCGGCGGCCGGCGCACCGCGGCGCCGCGCCTGCACCAGCGGCAGCACGAACGGCAGCGTCTTACCGCGGCCGGCCGGCGCCGAGACGCAGAGGTCGGCCGGTGGCAGCGGCGACTCTGCGGCCGCCAGCAACTCGGGCAGCACCGTCACCTGCACCAGGAACACCTGTTCGATGCCCTCGGCGGCCAGCCGGGCGCGCAGCTCGGGGCAGAGCGCCGGCAGATTGGCCGGCACCGGCCGCCGGTCGCCAATCGGCTGCGGGTGCGCCAGCCAGTCGGGCAGCGCACGCGGTGCACGGCCTGTCGGCTCGAGCGCTCCACCTCGTCCAGCACGGTGAAGTCGTCCGCGGCGGCGTCTCCGTCCGACTCGGAGGTGTCCTCACTGTCGTTATTGGCGACGGCGGCTGCCGCTGTGCGCTCAGTCAGGTCGGCTATCACAGCAACACTCGCCGATGATTGGCGTCATCGAAACCGTCGGACGACGGTGGATTCACCACCGTTTTTGCAGCAGAGACTGGAAAAACCTCAGCAATAAACAAGGAAAAACATCACAACATGCCACAGCCCGCAATTGTGCATATTGTCATTTTATTTCTCACATGACAGAAAATATTGGCTGCCTTATTCTAGGAACTGGCATGAAAAACATAAGCTAAAATCAAGCTAAGTGAATTATTATTGTATTTCAACATAAGACTGGGAAAAAATCCTTGTCACTGTCAACATGACCAGCGTAACGGATGGGCTGCATGAACATTTCGGCGCATGATCTGAAAACTCTGTGTGCAGAAATTTCAGCGCTGAGGTGAACAAATAACATTTTGACAATTTGCCTGGTGCCTCCACAATTTAGCAAAACTAACTCACAATACTTACAGCCAGTTTTAACATGATCCCTGCATGACTCATGCATGCAAGATACACATGCATTCAATATCAGCACAGTGCACACTGCACACACATCAGTTATGGATTCATTTACATTTTACAACATTACTATTATTTTCTTTTCCTTCAATATTGGCAGCATGACTTGCTGAGTTCAGTGGGACAATCTTATGACAGCATTCAGCAAGTTTGTTCGGGTTCGCAACCATGCAAACTTTGCACGTTTTGCTTAAAAAACAAGCCTTTATACATTTCTTTCATGCTATTCAATTTCTTTTTTTAAATTTATTCTATCTTGAGTTGAATTATCTTGAATTACTATCTTGAATTATTATATCTTGAAAATCTTGCCATTTTGGTCTTAGCAATGTCAATGCACCATGCCGCACAGCTCGAGTAAGTTCCACCCAAAAGTAGTAGTGGTATCAGTAGCTGGCACCTTGCAATGTCAAATGTAGATGAATATGTGAAAACAGTGACATATTTATTTAAAATCTTGAGTCCAATGAGCCTACCCTCTCTGCCTCTCCTTCCAGCATTTCTTCAATCACCTTCGATTTTCAAAAATGACCTTCCATCATTATTTTCCACTTCCGTGCGAGCAATGAACTTGTAAGCTGACCACTAGTTAATGCGCTATCATCTTGCTGTTGGGTGCTGGTAGCAAAAAGATAATATAAAACGAAAAAACTAACACCACAACACCAAACACCCGTCTTGTTGGTTCCTTTTGGTCCTGCCTGGTGACAAAGGCTCTTTCATTACGCAATATCATCAGTATTCCTCTTCTAATCTTGAAGCCCAGATGCTTTACAAATTGGCCATGAATGATACTAAATTATTATATCAACTGAGAAGCGCAAATCACGATAATTAGTAACAAATGAGGCCAATCATCCCCACAAGACATCAAAAAAATAGACGGGGTCGCCTGTCTATTTTTTTGGGCTGTTTTTCTACATATAATGGCGCAGATAAACACTCCATTAATGCCGCATTTGCCGTTGGTGAAACTCGTTGGCTATTTTTATGGCTGATATTTTTTCACGCCGGCGGATATTTTTTCGCCTGGTTGGTGAAACTCGTCGGCTGGTTTTTGACAGAAAAATTGCGCCGGGCTGCTATTTTTCTGTTGGTAAAACTGGCCTCTGATCTGCTTTTGTATGGGGCCGTACCCAAATCTGCTATATTTGGGTACGATGACGTCACATGCGTACCCATTTTTAGCAGATTTCTGCTAAAAATAGCAGACTGCTAAAAATAGCAGATTTTACCATAGTTTCCCCGACTGAAGTACCTATTTGCCAAAACGCTAAATACACATATAATAATAACCACCACCCACCACCAACTTACTGCACCGTTTTCGCCGCTTTTTCTGCTCAAATGCCTTCAAACATGCTTCAAATCTCATGTTTGTTTAACATCAGCTAGACGTAAATGACGTCATAGATACAAAATTTTTGAATGAATGTGTTAGTTTTTTCGTATCAAATTTAGAGTTTTTAATTTTCTTTTAATTTTAACGTGCTTCAATAGATTAGGATTTTTCAGGTTTCGTTTGGTTAGGCATAAAACTAAAGCAGTCTTTTAGACTCTTTTTTTACACTTGCGTAACAGAACAGCTGATTCGTTGTTTAGCTTTTTACCTGATGATGTCATTTCTTTTAACTTCTTCAAAGAAGATTTGGAAATCAGAAATCTTCGTTTACTGTTCATTTTACTAGCAACTGCTATTGGTGATTGGCATAAACTACGCGACCGCCACCAATGAAAAGTCGAGGAACTGCAGTGTTCTGGTGAATGACAATTGTGAACGAACATAATTCAGCGAAGGATGTCGCTGAGATTACACCGAACGACGAACGTGTGCTTGTATTTTTTGGATGCTGTGTGTGTTGTTTTAGAGTCATATTTTTCCCAGGTTTATGTTTGTAGATATAAAACTTTATCAGAATTCACTGGGATTGTATTGCGTATGCAAGTCCATGACCCAATGTGATGCAAGACACAGTTTTGACTTTTGAGCCGTTAGGACTGGAGTCCTAATAGGAGCTGGAATAGCGATTCATTCATGGATTGTACTTAGTGACCGTCCGTGATGACCAAGTCCCCTTGGTCATCACGGGTCACATTGGTCATCATAGGTCACATTGGGTCTGTTTCAGTCGCACTTCCTAACACCTCTAAACTCCTCTAAGATTGCTTCCATGTTCCACTTTCCAGTGGCAGCTCTAGCTCCTACAAAGCCAAGGAGGGCTGTGCTCGGTAATAGTAGAGCAGACGTCACACGACGGTTTTCCAACCAAGGAGAGGCGCTATGCCTGGAGGTACTTCTTCCTAACAAAACCTTAACAAACCTAATCTAACCTGACCTAACCTAACCTACAACCTACAACCTACAAACCTACAACCTACAAACCTACAACCTAAAAACCTACAACCTACAAACCTACAAACCTACCCTACAACCTACAAACCTACCCTACAACCTACAAACCTACAGCGCCTCTCCTTGGTTGGAAAACCTTTGTGTGACATCTGCTCTACTAATGTCCTCTGCTCCAACCTCCTCTATCCTGCTCTTGGAGAAGTTCAGAGGTGTTTGAAAGTGTGACTGGAACAGACCCCTTGCATGTTATTTATTAGTTTGGCACTATCATTTACTGTGATAATGATCATTGTATATTATCTAGATCATCTTTATAGGCACACAGGACATTGTATTGTATGACTAATCCTTCAATAAAATAAGGTTTGAACATATACAATTATAATAGGAAACTACTATTCAACAAAATATTCAGTATAAAAATAATTCTTTTGTGTAGCAGAAAGATGGGAATCATGGACGAGCTTTGGTCCAGTCAAACAATACAAGTTAATAATGCAAAGATGTCACCTTAATAAATAATATAATTGATCAGCATAAGGTTCTCATGGGTAATTTTAGAATACCAAAGCCATTCTTACCATGCAACAGGCAACTTCCAGGCAAATGTAAGATGATGCCCAAGAAATCAAGCTTATATATTATATAAATCTAATAGGTACCTACTACCTACCTACCAAATGAATATTGATATTCAAATTCATGTGCCTAACATTCTGCTTCATGTGTCTCACTTTTACCATGAGAGAATCCTGACACCTCATCTATACTTTTTCAGACATATATGAATAAGTGAACACTGAACTTGATGCTGGTGACTGGCAGTGCTTCAGACAGAAAAGTTGGACCACTTTTAAAGGAAATGAAAAATTCAGCAAAGCATCCAAAGGTATTAATTGGTATAATGGTATAATTGGTACCTGTAAGAAATGGTAATAGACATGATTGTGGACATAATGGTGTTACAAAAGCATGTGATGGTCCATAGACCATAAGTGACAGTTAGTAAGTACCTCAGCGCCAGTCTCTCTTACTAGAAGTTGTGGTTGCTAGCACACAGTTCTTTCTAATCTTCCTTCCATCAGCAGCTGGCACCCACTGGCCACTGATACTTGGCCTCGGAGGCGTCCAGCTGTCCTTGTCTCTCGCGGACGGTTTGCGATCGTAATATACAGCGGCTAGCCAGCGTGTGTCGCTTCATAGTGCGATGAAAGGGCAAAGCGGTGTCATCTCATGTATCGCCGTAACGCGGCCCCCTTAGGTTTACTGTTATAAATTGAGTTAGAATATTTGAATGGATGGATTGTCAGAGTCAGAGCCCGATGTTAAGGGCGCAAAATGACCTTAGTCGTCGGCGCGCCCTAAAGCCCCAATTAACAATAAAAGATTCAGAGCCCACGCTCAGCAGAGCTCGTTTTTCAGGCCCCGATCCCTTCCCCCCGGTCGCGCAATTCCAGGTGACTTGAGAATGTGGATGCCGATGTTTAACGCCCTTCAAAGCCGGACCTCCCTGTCCTAGGACGGTCACGGACGCAACTGACTTCAGCTGGCTACGGCTGCTTCCACCAACCGCAGACCATCCCCGTCAGGAGTCTCATAATATCGAGCGCTGGAGCGACACGAACCTGGGCTCTCACCACCGGGAGTACAACGCTCCACCAGCTGAAATACGGCATGGATGAAGTATTCCGGCATGGAATACCTAATCCATGAATACGGGACAGGCACTTGCCTGAGAGGCTTTGACCTAACTTCGAAAAAGGCAATTTGATCTTCTCCAACAAAAATTGTATCGATTGACGCGCCTGGACAAGCCTAAAACAATCAACGATGTTGTATCAAACAATGTATCATAACGATATATCAAAGTTGCTACGCTGCGACGATTTTTGATAAAATACTTACCAAAAGCCGGGCTCCGACCCTAGAATCATTGGCGTGATCCTAGCGGACCAACTGACCTGAGGCCTGAAAATTGGCCATTTTTACGTTTTGTGACCGCAAACAATGAACAAAATTGTTTTCTGTGAAGGTCTGGCTCAATAAGCGGCCAAAAGGAAGTTCGTACCCTCGCCATAGATATGTAGAAAACCAATGAAATAGGTCGGGGGATAGTTAGATTAACCGTCCACTGCTTAGCATATATGTAGAGTATAACAAATGCTTCCTACCACTTGCATCTTTTTTAGGTGTCAGTCTTATCACATGCAGCCACACCACAAGGCATATGCATTCTTAGAAAATGGATCATGGCCATATTCCACATTGGTGCATTTCCTCTGAGGTTCTTCGTGGAAAGGTTTCAGAATATATTTCTATATTTCTCCAATATAGTATTTATCCGATGGTAATATATTCCTCCGCTTCTGCTGTTCCAGGGAAGGAGATGTCGCGTCTGCAACATTTTGGTGCCGTCTTTGAGAATAATAAAGGAGCACATGAAGCTTTGCCATCCAGATGATGTGAGTCTTTTTAAGTCTTAGCTGTATTCCTATCAATAACTGTGCCATGAGTTACCTCTCATGACCTATCTCTGATTGTTTCAGCCATTTTATGTTCAAAATTTGTTCATTAATTTGGTTCGCGCATGTGTGGTGGTGGTGGTGGTGGTGTGTGTGTGTGGGGGGGGTCCCTTCTGTGTTCCGACCCGCACAGTCGGTCGAATTTGCTCTGAAGCACGATGATTTTTTCTCCTTATCCATCTCAACTTCTTCCACTTCAGTAGATCATTCGGAAATGCTGGATCGATCGATCGATCGATCGACTGTCGCGGTTGTCAGAACCCGGTCGGAGTAATTTAGCTACCTACTCGTGATTGCGATTACCTTGGGTCTTATGTCAGTGTTAGTAATCGCGCTGCTTGCCACATGAAGTCGGTTAGCAGGCTGGGCCGGGTGCGGCTACGCCAGTTAGCTCCACTAAATTACAATTTATACCGTCGCCGGGAATTTTAATATCGGGTAGTCGACATAACAACTCGCGCAACAAGTATCGGTTAGCGTGGGTTCTGGGGTGCAGGGAACCCGCCCATCCAGAATAGCTGGACTTGACTATTGGCCGTTGGGGATGCCTTGCGGCTTACCATATTGCTTCAATGAGTATTATTAAGTAATGTTCATTAGCATTAGTCTGAAATTACCCTTCTTTTCTTCAGTGTTTTCCGTGCGACCTCTGCAGCTACGTGGGTTTCAACTCTCCTGCGCTGTGTCACCACAAGAAACAATATCACAAAGTGCTGCCCAAAGAGCAATTAAAGCTCGTAAGTTCTGTCTCTAGAAATCTTGGTAGGTTACGCTGTTTTTTTTAACTGGCTCAAAGTTCACTACGGTCATAAATGCATGTTGTTATATGCATTATTTTGTCATGTAAATTAAAATGGTTTAAAACATGCAAACCAAAGTGCCTTAACATTAATAACATGTAGACAAATAGACAATATAATGTTTAGTGACACCCCTTTGGAATGCTTAAATCATCAATATTTCCTCATCTGTCTGTCTGCCTGTCTATCCATTCGCTCATTCTCTCTCTCTCTCTCTCTCTCTCTCTCTCTCTCTCTCTCTCTCTCTCTCTCTCTCTCTCTCTCTCTCTCTCTCTCTCTCTCTCTCTCTCTCTCTCTCTCTCTCTCTCTCTCTCTCTCTCTCTCTCTCTCTCTCTCTCTCTCTCTCCCTCTCCCCTCTCCCCCTCCCCCTCCCCCTCCCCCCCTCCCCCTCCCCCCTCCCCCTCCCCTCCTCCTCCTCCTCCTCCTCCTCCTCCTCCTCCTCCTCCTCCTCCTCCTCCTCCTCCTCCTCCTCCTCCACCTCCTCCTCCTCCTCCTCCTCCTCCTCCTCCTCCTCCTCCTCCTCCTCCTCCTCCTCCTCCCGCTCCCTCCCTCCTTCACACCTTTCCTCTCTCTCTCCTGCCTTTCTCCCTCTCCATTCTCATTTGTTGCACATTATTGCAGGCCTGCCGAGAATCGACTCGAACTGGTACATCACTGAATCCGTGCACGGCTGAGTTTAAGCGTGCGGCTAGCCTGCGACAGCACCTAGCAGATGTGCATGGCATCACGGAAGCTAGCCATGAGGTCACGAAGGAGTTTGGATCGGTAGATGGTGAGCATAATGGCACCTACAACATACGAGCGAGCGCGAAATAGGAAACGGAATCTTTCGTCGATTGACTAATGTGTGATGAGATGCATGCGATTCATTCGTACGTTTAAGCGCAATTCATGTAGAAGGTAACGCATTAATTGGTTAAAATCTGCGATTTACAATTTACATACAATTACTTGTTTTTCAGACTTTAAGAGATGGAAGGAAGTGTTTGAGGACGACACGTGTGCAAGATACAACGTGCGCGGCGGGAAGCTGAAAGAAGGCGAAAAAAACGATCATATACGCCTGCTCACGCTCAGGGACTTATGTGTCGAAGGTCAAAGGTAAATGCGATTTGCAACTAAAAATGCTTGTTTTTAAGACCACACATTCGGTGGGCTTTCAGGTTGTGCCGTGCTAAAAGCATCCAGTATAATTCACTGTATTGAAGTGATTTGATTTTTTAGGTGACTTAAATAATATCTTAGTGATACTTTAAAGTCGGTCCTGATGCATAGCTTTTATGTATTACCTAAACTCAATTGAAAGGTACCATCTTAGACATACACTAAGAACTATATTTACACGATATTGTGTAAGGTTATCCAACAGAATTAACAGGCAGTGACAGAAAGCTCCCAATGGTTTGTGTGCTTTCTAGGAGTCCGGAAGCGGCAGCTGAAATCCCAGGGATCTTCCAAGATGGGTAGTACCTGCACGGCGGTGATGTGTGCCAGGACATCAGAAGAGGGCAAGGTCAGCGTGACAGTGCATCCGTTCCACTACGGACACGCGACGGACAAGACCGATCTGCCTTATATACGACTACCGAAGACAGTCAGGGACTTCGCACAAGGTAAGTCGAATAACCTGTCTCACCTAGACTGAGCATCCGCATTCTACACACGAAACAGCTAGAGGAATAACACATACAAAATCTCTAGCGGGGAACTGAGTAACAAACCCCGACAAAACATTTATCTGATCGATGAATGTTGTGTCAGGGTTTGTTGGGATTTCATGAGCCTTCGCCAGGTCTGCGGGATTGCCAGTTGGAGTCTGTTCTTGTCGATAGTTCTGAGTGGCGTCCGTTTCAAAGTCACCAATCAAACCGGCTCTGGAGTTTGGTTCTTTTTTCGTCTAGTAGGTGCTAGTTTTTCATTGGATTCAACATTAACTTGCGAAGTAGAATTGCAATTATTGGTGTAAAAATATCCCTTACAGCAGGCAATGAGTCAGGAACCCAACGAGACGGATGAAACTCTCAACACAGGGAATTTTTGTGATGTTCCAATCGGTAGCTTCCGAGACTGAGCAATGAGCATGTCTCTGAAGCGGCGATCAATTTGTGTTGTGCAGAGAAACTCCTGAAAGGAGAGCCCGCGTCTCGCGTCATTAATGACATCCGTAAGTCCCTGGAGGAAACTGGTGATCCTGCCACTCGCCGTGGGTTCTGGATCGGCAGAAGAGATCTGCGGAACATGTGCAACAGTCTCAAGATCAGGCCACAGACCGAGACCTCCACTCAAAAGGAGCGCGTTGAAATGTCGAGTGAGGAACTGGACAATAAAGAAATCCGTCCTCCGAAAGAGGTTTGTTTTATGATTTTTTTAGGGGAATAAATTGGCGCTTGTAGTTGTTCGGTTCTGGATGACAATACTATAATTACTAACCGATCCGTTATCGCACCAGCAGAATTCATAACTGAGTAAAGAAGGAGGCTCGTGTGCATTTAATAAAGTATAATATGACAATAGTTTTTAATATGTCTATTTCTCTTGATGTAGTATGTAGTTAGTTATATGTTGTCGCTGAGTCTGCATGCTGAAGTAATGCGAGTCATGAACATCTCCAGGTGGACGACCTGTGGCAGGAGCGGAAAAAGCTGTGGCGAGGGCCCTCCGCCCGGCTGTCCGAGATCCGGCAGCGTCACGCGGCGGCCGCCGAGCTGGTCGCCGCCCGTACCGCAGCGGCTCACCGCCTGTCGGACGCGGCCCGACCCACGTGGCTGGTAGGCCCGTTCGCCGAGACGGACCACCAGTACATCCGCATCGAGCAGCACCACCGGCTGTGTCCGTTCGGATGCCAGCTGCGCTGTGAGGACTGTGGTGTGTGCGCGCACCAGTTCACCTGTCAGTGCCAGGATTGGGTGTCCCACAAACTGCCGTGCAGACATATGCACTATCTGTGCATGGTGGTGGAAGACCTGCTTGGTCCTTTGCCTCCGCCGGACCAGGAACAGGACAATGTGCCGGGGGTCGCTGAGATAGACGACACGCCAGGCGTCGCTGAGACGGTCGATTCGCCATGTGTTTCGCCGGCTCGCGAGCTACCTCCGGTGACGCCTTCTGCCGGCCGTCCCGAGGAAGGTGCCGCAAGACGACAGCAGGTCGTCACTAAGATGCAAGGGGCATTGTCAGCGATCGAAAGACTGCCGGACACTCTAGCAGAGGAGTCTTACCAGCGCATCCTGGCACACTTGGCCGTTTTAGAACGCCTTGTGGCACTGGAGGTGCGTCCTCAGACACCAGTGCAGGAACTCTTGCCTCCCACGGAGAACGGGCAGCAGACCTCCAATGCCAAAAGTGATCCCCATCCCACCCCTTCCTCTAAACGCCGGCAGCGAACGGTACGGTCTCGAGGACGGAGCAGGGCAAAGAGCTCCACGGCACAGCGAGGTGCGGTAAATCTCGTCGCGAGTGATGTTGACCTGGAGAACCTTCTAGTGGTTCAACAGGACCACTGCTACTGATGTGGGGTTATGGTGGGCTGAATTTGTTTTCTGTGCGATTTTGGTCCGTGTGTGACATATTAATGCTGTCTTATGTGTCGCTTCGGAGCGCCGTTCTGCGAATTCATGGTCATTTATGTTGAAGGCGACGTTGCAGTGTCCGATGCTACTACAATGTGTTAGGTCGGTGCTCGCAGTTACCCAGAATGGCATAGACTTGTATACTTCGTTTTTCGATATCATTGAAGGATCGTATGTTTCTCTCATAATGAGCTCAGATATTGTTTAGTTCTCTGTGTACATTGTACAGGGTGTCTCAAAAGTTCGCTTACAGGTACCAGTCATGCTTTTTTGTCAATAATTCTGAATCAACATGAAATTAACAGTCGAAATTTTGCGTGGGCATTGGTAACAACCTTCCTCAAGCAGCTTCATTGTTTTCAAGCGCATTCGGCCCTTCATGAGCTCACTGCCGTCGGGAGGAAAAAAGCCGTAAATCGCATTTTTATCGATTTTTCGTTTTTGATATCGTTGGAAAGCTCTTTTCATGATGCGTTTAATGGTACTGCTCAAACACGTGTACACTCAAAAATGAAAATATTATATATAATATAAAAATTCAAAAACGGATTTGTTACATCAGGGATAGCAAAACATGCAGGAAGAAAGCCGTATCCTTAAATTCGGCAGATACGGCATTTATACAAAATTTCAAACAAAGAATGTGGAACTGATAAGTCAGGAAGAAAGCCGTATCTTGTAGATACGGCTTTTATTTGATGGTGGCCTGTGAAATATGAGCCGAATCGTTGGTCCAGGCAGTTTGGAAGAAAGCCGTATCTACTCATTTAGCATGGCTTCGGCATATCCTGGACGGAACAGTTGAATATTTACACAAACATGCTACGTGATCGTAGCAATATGTGCCCATTTAAAGGGGAATTTTAATTGAAATAAAATAGGGAGTGAACTTGAGAAGTTTGAAGCCAACAGAACTTTGCCAACTCGGTGGTGTCAGCAGGGTGCCGGGCATTCAGCATTTTGATGTGCTAACCAGCCGGGGGCGCCAGTATAATCCGACCGTTCTTTTCCCCAGCTTCGTTTAAAATCCCAATAAGAAATGCCCCACCTAGCCTCCCCAATGATTAATTTAGCCTCCCTGTCCCCACCCCACCCCACAACCAAAATAGCATCATGTTAAGTTCGACCCGGTAATCATCATACTAGACATGCAGCTCGTAGCCGGCACGCTTAGTACGACGACCTACAATCTTTGTCTTAAAACCGTTGAAGATATAGTTGAATAGGTACCGTGAAAGGTCGATTGCTATTGCCAACCTCGTCACATTTATTGTGATAATTGTGACCACGCCCATGTATCTTTGGGACCGTCGTCCCCTGTCACTTCCATTCCTGATCAATGACTTTACTGTCTTCTTTCCATCTCCATCATACCCATGATGCTCAATCATATTGGAAAGTTAGGCTACCTTGTAGCACCCACACAAGCCCAACATTGTCATATTCTACGGGCAGCTGCCCAGAGCCTACCAGCACAGCTGTGGCCGGTGGAGGATGCAGCAAGACGTACCGAATAGCCCTCTGCTCTGTTGCAGTAGGCGCTGTAATCAGAGCCCTGTGAATACGAGTGCACATTGGGGGGCCTTTTGAGGGTGCGCCCTCTAAAGGGCGTTCCCGCAGACGTGTGGAGCTCTCAGCAGCCAGCAGTCTAGCGATCTCCGACAATGAGGCGGCATTTGCTTACACCATCAGCCGCGGCACAGTGCTGTCGCCCTAGATGTTTCGCACAGGCTTTGTAAATGCAGTTTCTTTACGGGAATTCCTGAAGTTCTTACACCATCCTCTATTTTGGTTCAGGAGCCGGGCGGTTCCGTGCTTGTAGCTGCGCACCACGTGACTTAACAGTCCAGTGTAATCGAAAACTGAAGCACCGTACAAAGACAGCATTCGTGATTCCCCTTGTCGGTTGCAGGCACGTAGCCAGGATTTTGCTCAGGAAGGGGCCACAGGTCGCGGCCTAGTGTCGTGCCCCTCCAGAAAAGGAAAACTCCTCGGATTTGGCCCACTATTTTTTGGGGTATGGTGCAGCGTGTTTTTTTAATTTAATTTTATTTTTCGTCTTTAGAGGCCCTGTGCCCCTGTGGCCCCTATGCCCCCTCCCTTGGCTACGTCCCTGGTCGGTTGGTCAAGCTGCCTTTTGATGGCACCCTGCGCAATCAGATTCCAAGAGCCTAAAGGTACGACAATAATGCGATTATTCATGGATGATGTAGTTTTAAAATGGGTATCATGTTTGTTTTTGTATCGAACGTTCAATTTAATATCCATACTCGAGAGCTGAAGCAGTGGAACGCAACCAGCAGCGGAACTGCTTTAGTACTTTTATTGACAGATGTGAACTGTCAATACAAATGCACCGATGATGCTGCTTTTTGACGACATATGGTTAAACAAAAATGGCGATACGGCTTTATTCCCGATCGGTTAACCAATGTATCAGAGATACGGCTTTTTGCATGACAGTATTGCTCAGGTGTCTCGTACGATGCGGCTTTCTTCCACGATACGGCTTTTTTCGTGAAAGAAAGATTCCGAAAACTCGGGGTTGAATTGGAAGCAAAAAAGTTTTTCGCCTTTTGCTTTTAGGTCAAAATAATTTCCCTTTTATAACCACTTTCATTGGATGTAAAATTTCTTTGCGATCACTGCAGTATGTTTCGTTTTGTTATCGAGCAAAGTTTACGAATTTTATAACAAAAAAGGCGTTTTTGCCTCTCCTAAACAATTTTCATTTCGAAAAGTACCCCAGATACGGCTTTTTTCCTCCCGACGGCAGCTCACAAAAAGGGTTCACCTCTGACCATGGATCAGGCATGAAAATGGAGGTCGCATACTCGGGTCGGCTGAGAAACTCTCTGCTTCACGAGTAATGGGAATGGTTAGGTCGGAAATGACACATGGCAAAGTGTCGGCGAGGATGAGTACAACATGATGGTCATCTAATAAAAACGGTGGCTAAATTTTTTGAAGGACAAAACCATGCGAGACTAACAGCGCTTTGAACGACCCTTGTACCGCAGCAGACTCGTGCTCCGGAAAGCAGCTGAAAATGCAGTCCTAACTATTGAAAACTGACTAGAAGCTCACAGACAGAGGTTACCCAGTTTCAAAAATTGCAGGTCATCATAAAATAAAGACAAAATATCATTTAAAATTGTTTATAATATCTATAACGCTAAATTTTGAGGGAAAATAATGCGAAAATCGTCAATGCCGAGGACAAGTGACCCTCCAAAAGTGTCAATTAATGTAAAGTTTTATCTAACGAAGTTTCAAGAGGCAGATCTGGAGCAAATAGCTTTCTTTTACACACAAAATCCGGACAAAACCGCACGATGGACAGCTGGTTTTGGCCGTTTACAAAGCAGAACCTCTCCTGAGGAAAACACTCCGGAACCCAGCGAAGGTCTTGGCATTGGGAATGACGAGCGTTCGGGATTTGCAAATTTTGCAAAATGTGTCTAAGAAACAGATGGCCGACACATTCTGCTACGATATGCTGCGAAAAATTTGCCCCTGGCACTTCCCATTTGTTCAGGAGTGGGGTTGTTTTGAAAAGGAAAATGGTGCTTGGGAGGTCGGCGCCAGTCATTCATGAAGGAGTTAGCGCCAGAGAAGACCTACAAAATACTCACGGATGGTGTCGATGCAAGCTATCGGCTTTCAGGGAGAAGCGGATGTTGCCGGGGAGCTCGTCAAACCTAAATCCGACGCAGAAACTGCGGGGGATTCCCCTACAAGAGCTTGAAAGCTGGAAACCTTTTATCAGCCTCCGGCAGCTGACGGAGTGACGAAAATCGGTATGGGCAAATATTTTTTGGAGATACAGCAAAGGGTTTGGTTTCCAACCTTCCGAATCAGTTGTCAAAGCATGCATATTTGTCTAGTGTACACACGGACACCAAAAGCTTAGATTTTTGGCCGGTTCTTATATGCTTTATTGACATGGGAAATGTGTAAACGAACTTTTGAGACACCCTGTAAGTGTACAATGTACAGGTCTCGCGGGTTTTAGCGGTAAGTTTTGCACTTAGAAAATGTAGTGTACTTCAGGCTGTATCTTCGTCGTCTTAAGCTTTTATGTGTTGAAGATGCGATCGACTTGTTGGTTCACAAGCCGGCCGTGATCGTGTAAAATGACTTCATCGTAGATCGATTAGTTTCTGAGATATAACCGGAAAGGTAAAAGTGCAAAACCTACCGCTTAATCTCGCGAGATTCGTACCTTCCTTGTCAGATTGGGGCTTTTGGCTGCAATAAAGCGTGGGGTGTTATGAAGTTTGGGTTGTTTGGGTGTTATGAACTTTAAAGTGCGAGCTTTAGTCTTTCAAAACTCATGTCTTCAAATGTATGTTTTTTAATCATACAGTATTGTTTTTCAGTTCAGTACGGTGTGGCCAGCGTGGATTGCGGCGTCTGTTACATTGCAAATATAAATAACCTCTCATATTTTTGTCTCTTTTTCGTGAACAATCTTGAACGTATGGACATTCTTAGGAAGCACTTCGACATTTGTATGCGTTATGGCTAATTTTTAAGCTGTTAACACTATTTCTGAACTGCGTGCACTGCTGACCTTGCTGGCATGCTGGCACTGATTTACTGCAACCCTACATTAAAACGGGCTGATATTTTTTGGACTCCTGGCCTGAACCGTATTTAGGAAAAAAAACAATTGGTCTCAACTGCACACAAAGCGCAATTTACGGTCACTGATTGTTATTGTGTTATCGTTCTCATTCTCCCAGAATATGCTGCATTATTAATATATTCATTTTACTTCACCATAGAGCACACAGTCGTAAAAATCGCGATAAAAATGTACGTCCCAGCCTGAGGCATACGAACCAACTACGCATCAGAAAATACACAGTCTCATTTGAGCAATAAACGCATCATATTAGCGCGGGTAATTTAACGAATGGTATCTGGGTAATAATGTACCGGTACTCAAT